TCTGTTCTAATCTCTATCCTGTGATTGTAATGTCGCGTGAAAGTTCTCTCATAGTCATCCAAAATCATTACCGTGCTGCTCAATCCTGATAAGTCAGTGATAGCTCCAATAAGATCATGTTTGGCGCCCTACTTAAGAAAAAATTACAATGTTTTGTGTCTAACTTTTTTATTAAGTAAAAAAAATTCTTTCTTGAAGAATATACAGTATATGGATAAAAAAGATGGCTGGGAAATAACGGATGTACCTTTAAATTATAAATTTGAAACGACGCACTGTCCTTATCTGAATGGGAGTTAACCGTGTCTTCGTCTTCCACAAGATGAAACCGTCCATTATAGTAGATGACTGGTTTAATCGACTCGGTAGATAAGTATAGATCATGGACATTGCTAGTCTCGCTACTATTACTGCTACTACTGCTCATGATAAGGATACTTTTCAGCAAATATTATCACTATTGTCTCAAAATAGTTGTCGTACAAATGAGTTGTTTTTATCATGTGAATACTTTTGTCGATAAAAATAGTTTTTATAACTCAAGATAGAAAGGTGTAATGTTCGAAACGTTAATATTAGGTTTTTCTCGATTCGAAATGTTGTGTGGAGAAAGAAGTAACAATTAAAACATGCATTAGGATTGGACTTTTTTATGGATATCTTTTTGCCTTATATGGTGTAAACGGAAAAATTATAAACACCTTTATGGAAAAGAGAACCGTTTTCACGTGCATCAAAAATAACAAGATTCTATACTCAATATTATGAAAAAGTTCACTTAATTAACTCGCGCATTTTCGTAATCACAAGGATGTCGAGTTTATTACGGAAAGACATACGCGCTTTGTAAGACAAATTGCTTTATTTATCATATGTACTGTATATTTATGTGTTCTAATATTATTTGTATTTAGCTGTATTACCTTACCAATTTTTTTCCATAATTAAAAATTCTAAAAATATACATACTATATTTTTAAATTATACTGTAATTTTATTATATACTAAATATAAATTAATTATATTATTATTATTATTATTAAAATCAATTTATTTATATTTTATTTGAGCAGATAAATAAAAATTCTTTATATAATTCAATAAAACTTTTTCCATTAATTTTTTAATTAAGTTTATATACTTTCCTTAATAATTTATTTTTTATCTCTTATTATAAAAGAAAAAATCTATTAAAAAAAATATCTTTTATTATATTTTTTAATTTATCATAAGTAATTATTTTTGATTAAAACAGATAGATAAATTAATAAAAATATTTTTTTAGATATATAATTCTTTCTATTAATTATATATAATATATTCATAATAATATTTTAAATATATTAATAAAATTTTTAATTTTTTAGAAAATTTTATTTATTTCAATTTGACTTTAAAATTTTTATAATATTGAAAATTTTAATTAATAATTGATTAAAATTTTGAATTAATTAATTAATATATTAAAAAATAAAAATAAGATATATATTTTTTATATATTTTATATTATATAATACTAATAATATAATTAGATATAATAAAAAAACAAATACTAAAATATTCTTTTGATAAAAATAATTTGAAAAAAATTTTTTTTTCTTATACTAATTTTTTTTTTTTCAAAATTAAAAAAATTTTTTATTAAACTAATAATTAAAAAGATTTTTATTTACTAGTATAACTTTTTATTTTTATTTTTTTTTAAAAAAAATAATAATTTTTTATCTTTTAAAATCACAAGATACTGTATATTAGAATGATAATTTGAATATAGGTAGACTTTGATCTTTAAAAACCAAGATTTTAATATCTGACTTTAAAAAAAAAACAACTTTATAATTATATCTAAAGAATTAAAATTTGAAAAATCTAAAATAATTAATATTATGCAATAATAGCTTAATAAACATATTCCCTTGTAGTGAAATAATTAATGAAAAGCTAAATCATGTTGATACAGTAATTTTGGTATTAAGGATTCAAGGATTATATATACGGTAAATTCACAAATAACTTATTGATAGGTGTTTTGCTATGAAAAAATAGTTTAGTTTTAGTATAATATCATATGTATATTGTATATTGTTTCTTATAAATGGATTAATAAACACATGACTAGCAGTTTGATTAGAGGAAAAAAATAATAATAATTCTTTATATAACCTTGAATAGTATTTTTGTAAAATCGCAACTAATGTATATTTCTTTAATGCACATGTGAATCGTTACTTCATGCATTATCTCGACCAATAGAATAAAACCGTGACCAATGTTTAATATAAATACCATTTACGCCTACACTTTTGTTCACATAATCAAAAGATGTCAAGTGGTGATAACCGCAGTTCGCAAAAGCACCTAAAACCCATCATTTATCATAATGGCATTTTTCATTATATTGAAAACAATTCACCATCTAGAATTGATGATAACACGAAATACTCGTTATTTCACATTTATAATTTGAACGTACGCGCAATTTAAATTTTTGAAAGAAATTGAGTGACTTAACGCGAATACATTAAACTAATTTTCTCGGTAATTGAAGAGATCATTCGAGGAACTTAAAAGTGAAATCATTGAAGCGGTCGGTGGTAACGTGACTGTTACCTTGGAGGATGAGCTATCCGTACCTCCAATAGTTGACCCAGATAACCTTTCGAGCTCATCGTCTAATATGGAGGATTCCTATGTCACCGTAGGCGGGACTCATAAGAAGGTAATAAATACGTTTTTTACATGCTGTTACGTACTAGAATTGTTTACCCGAGTAATTGTTTTCTATACTCATTCGAATAATTCTGTCCATTGGAAAGGTCAATATCACCTTTAAGAACCATCGTCACCGAGATGTGGTAGAAAACATTAGATCTTCGGATGCTCTCAAATCATTCACCGAAAATGGATTCGCCGACTGGATTCCACTTGATCTTGCCACGTATAACAACATCGAAAGATCGTCAAAGTGCGATCACCAAGATCATGGATTAAATTTTAGATCCTTTAGTGATGAAATTGATGAAAATGTGTTGTACACCATTGTTGATGAATTGATCAACAATAATGAAGAGTCAGCTTTGAAGAAATTGTTTCCCGGAAGTACCATCCAAATCCATCGTGAGATCCGTAAGATCAAAATGAAAGTCTTCTTTGTGGAGATTCGATACCCCTTTGAATATGAATTTGGAAAGTTGGTTGTAGAAGTTTTAAATGCTATTATTCATGATCGAAGAATCAATGCGGATAATGAAGTTTGTACCCAGAAATTCCGAATTATTAATATTAACACGTAAATCTCCAGCTTAATCATTGATTTTTTTTCCTTAGGCGGTTCACCACTCCTTTTTTAAGAGCGTCCTGTACCTCACGTTCCTTATCGGTCATATGCTGTTTATCAATGAGTTATATGAAGAATTAAAGTATCCTTCTTGGTC